TTTTGGAGTAAAGAAAAATTTGCTACATTCCAATGGGAAATATTGTAAATAGTTTGCTTGTTCACCAAGGCTTGAGGTCCCCAACTGGTCCTGCAGTCCAGTTTAAAATCTTTTGACCTTGCTTTAAGTATATTCTCATGTCATGTGGTAGCTTCCTTGCCAATCCATTCAATATTTGGTGGAATGCATCTCCTGATTGTGCTGGCTGAGGGAACAGCATAGCTTGTTTCATTGAAGGATTTGCAAGTAATCTTTGCTTCTTCAAGACTACTTCTACTGGAATAGATGTAAGGATGGTATCCAAGTAAGGGACATCTTTTTCCGCTACAAAAACACCAATTTGCTCCCATGGAATAGCATCCGCAAATGGTAACACAATGTCATCTGCTATGATCACCGGAATGCACCCAAATATTACAGCTTCCACGAGTCTTGGACTCCACGGGGCCCATCCGAGAGGGCATAAACAGAAAATTGCGCGTTGCATATCTTCATAATATGTGGTTGGATGGTCTGTGGAAATGTCGAATAATGGATTGTTCTTGAAGTTCTCCCAAATCGAAGCTCTTGCTCCTCTGCAATTAATATTATTTTATTTTAGATTGAGAATACATAAATCATTACAGCATAGTTATTTTAATTAGTGGGAATTGAACCCGAGACCTAGGTCCTAGAGCCTCAGTTTTGTCACTACGCTACGGGGACTTATGCTAATTAATAAAAAAAACATGGGGATTTATGCTAATTAATAAAATCACGGAAGGAGGTTTTTGCCAATTAAACGAAGTCAAAGGGATATTTTTGCATTTAGCTCACTCAGATTACATACCTCGCATAGTAGCCTCCTTCAGGGTCGTTGTTTACATCATAAAACAAACCACGAAAATAGACAAAGATGGATCTTGGAGTATCAGGAGGAATCAAATGAGACTGCATTTTCTCTGGAGGTGCATATGGAGGTATTGTTATTGAACCTTCATTCAGACAAACATGGTTATGTTGTCCAAATGTTTGAACCAAAGTAGCACGTTGGAGTAAAGGAAGAATGCCTCTTTTTATAGCTCTCTCCTCCTACACAAAACAATGATTAACCAATATAATAATCATCCATTCATACAAAATAGTAACACTTGCAATTTTTTTAAAAAAAAAAACAGGCAAAGTTCAGGGGGTATTTTTGCATTTATCGAATTACTTGATAATGAAAGCAAGCTCCAAAATCATGGGGAACAAGAAAGAAGTGATCAGCTCCTTCTGTTCTATTCCAAAAATGCCATTTAGTCGAAATGAGTTGTATTGCACTTCTCATCATTCTCGGAGATTTAAAAGGAAGGGGTAAGCCATTAGGTGCTAGGTCGCAGGTTGAGTAAACAGGTGTATAAAACCAATCGGCTTCATTTGGATTCAGAGTTCGGACTGGGCTCGATAAGAGAAACTGGTGCATGAATATCTCAGCAGCAAACATGTGTTTCAGACAACGTGGATCTTTCTGTAAAATCTTCTTGTTGTATTTGCTTGGAAGTTCGTATACATAAACTTTTAATCTCCCCACAGGATTATCCTCCAGAACATCACCAGCACTACCTACGTACAATTTTGAAACAACCAATGTGGGACCAACAAATTATTAATAAGAATGAGTGAAATAATGCAAAAATCCCCCTTGTGCTAATTTTTATTAGCAAAAAAACCCTCTCGAACCAAAATGACAATTATACTCTCACCAGAGATGCGAAAGGTTCACTCAAAAAAATGACAATAAACTCCCTATTGAAATATGAAGAAATTTGAAAAAAGAATACAGAGTTTTTGTTTTTTCTAATTAAAATAATAAAGGGGTTACTTTGCCAATTAGTCAAAGCACAGGGGACGTTGTTGCATTTAGCTCAATTAAATTAAGAATATATACCTGAAATCCTCTCGGTACGTACAGAGCGGTGTTCGAGCCCCTCCACGCCAATAATAACATTAATTCCTACTAGAGCCAAAGGCAGAAGCAGATAACAAAGCCGCATGATCGATATATATCTCCTCCTCAGCAAGAATTAAGAAATGGAATGGGTTATACTAATTAATTAATATCCAAGAGAACTAGGAGAAGCATGTTTTTTATTTTGTAGAGTTGGGGTAGTGGTAAAATTAAAGATGTAGGTGAAGAGTTCATTTTGGTTTACATGCAAGCAACAGAGACAGTATGGCTGTATTGTTAATTGTTTGCTTCAAAGGGTGGAATGGATCTTTGGATCTGTTTTGCCAGTTTGATGGTCTGTCCTTCTCATGATCCAACCCGCCCTCATTTATTTATTTACTATTTCTTTTATCAACTTACTTAATTAATAATAATGGATTGGCTGATCATCGTATTTTGAATTGGATTGTTTATATCTACAGAAATCTAATCTAATTGGGTTCCCATGGTCTCAAATCCATTTCTACTAATGAGTTTTGAAATTTTAGGTCCTACTATATTTATTTTCATAAAAGAAATGCATACACTTGCATGTTTAACAGATAAACAACAATAAAAACATGTTCAGATCCTAAAGAAAATAGTCCCGAATATTTCCCGACAATCCTACATTGAAAACAGGTCTAAACACAAACACACACAATCCAAAGTATGCCTTTAATGAGTAGACAGCATTATTATGAAATGTTTAGGCATCAGCTGACTAATGATCATGAAAGAACGCCTCAACACACAAAATATTATTTATTCCTTAAAGGTAGATAATAATCTTAAAATTTAAAACCAGCTCTTCCAAAAGGAATAATAATAATTAATAACAAGTAGCCAGCATTATTAGAAACAGCAGAGCCCCTTCAGACTGCTTGGCCAATACAAAATTCAGGTGAAATGAAGCTTATCTAGAACAAACTTTAATTGAAAAAAAATTACAAACCACAAATTGAGTATAAAAACATGAAGTCCTCGTAGTTTCTGGGTTCCTCCTAATAAAGTAAATTTATCACCCAATCAATAACTTGCTCTCTTCCAAGAAGCTGTAAGTTGGAACCTCAAGGTTGTATGGTGCAGGCCCTTTGCGAATCCTACCAGAGATGTCGTAATGTGATCCATGGCACGGGCAAAACCAACCACCAAAGTCACCAGCATTTGGCAAAGGAATGCAGCCCAGATGAGTGCATACCCCAACAACCACAAGCCATTCTGGATTCTTGACTCTAACAGCATCCTCTTGAGGATCACGAAGAGAGGCAACGTCAACACTGTTGGCCAACTTGATATCGTCTTCAGTACGACGCCTGATAAAAACTGGCTTACCACGCCATTTCACAGTGACTGTGGTTCCAGGTTCGATGCTAGATAAATCTACCTCAAGAGAAGCAAGAGCAAGGACATCTTTGCTTGCTGACATGCTCAAAACAAATTTGAGTACAAGGAGACGGGCCAATGATGCATACACAAACCTGCCACCAGTCAAAACAAAATATGCAAATGCACGCTTGCTAGGATCACCTGGTGGATAACGCTCATGGTTGCTGTCATCATAGACAATTTTGGAGCTCGGATTCTTGATTGCTGCCACTGTAGCAGGGAGGTCTGGAATCAGACCCAATTCTTGTCCTGGTACAAGGGTACCGGAAGAAAACCCTGGAGAATTCCACCAAAGGTTGATATGTTATTGAAAGGAACCACAAGAAGAAGAGGAAAAAACCGTAAGAAGTGGGACAACAGGGAGCAGAAACAACATAAAACAACTGATATAAAAGGGTGAATCTGGATAAGGGATGAAATTGAAAACTAAAAGTAAAGCAAATAGAAATGGAAATGCAAAAAGTACTACAATTTTTTTTTTAAATTAAAAAGTTAAGGGGATTAAGAAGGAAACAAAGGGAAAATCAGTCATATGGATTGCTCGACTTTCTCAACCTTTAGTAGAACTAGATAATATAATGGTTACATCCATATATGCATGCCTACATGCAATTTTTATGGGACTGGAGTTTAATTTTCACACCAAGAATCTCTTAAACTCAGAGCAAAGTAGCACTATCCTACAAGGACCTGAAAAGTTCAATTCACAGCACATGTACGGCCAGATACATCCCAAAATTTGAACTGCTGTTACCATTCACCTCTGTCACATGATAGACACCAAACAAAGGACATAGATAAACACATGGAATCAAAATAACGTGTTGTTTCAATCTCTTAGTTTGCTTTGTGACACTAGTTTTTCTTAAATTAGTAATTTCTTCGCAACTTTTCTTAGTATTTCTTTCCTAACATTTTTCGTTTCCAGGAGTAGTATGCTTCACCAACATTTAACAATATTCAGACCTTCCAATTCCAAAATAAATACAAAAAGACCATATTTCTTAGAAAAAAGAAAAATCGTCTAATAAACCTGAATATTGTAGTCTAACTGAAATCAGAATCTTATCAAGTTACTTTCAGGTTGTTTTATGAACAAGCAGCTCATTTCACCTTAAGCGGGCATAGAAATCACACATAATCCCCGTCTGCAATCTTTTTTTTTTCTGAGAATTCGATTTTGCCGGTAATTTAAGATCTCTAATGATCACACAATCCGATTTAAATAAAATATTGAAAGTCATAAATCGCGTGAAATGAGATAAATATAGTATAAAAGCACCTGAAACCCTAAAAGAAATCAAAGAACCTCTAAATGAATTGTTGGGGGAAGAGGAGTGAGGTGGTGAGGATATGGATCCGGTGGCGCGAGCATCGGAGGATGAATCTTCATTGGCGGCGGTGAATGGGTTTCTTGAGACAAATGCGGCGGAAGAATTTTGACCGGACCTCCACGATAGAGAAGATAACCTCCTCCCAGCTACTCGCAGCATCTTCGATCAATTGAAAACTTTCTCTTTGCCTAGGGTTCAGCTTTCTCGCTCAGGAGATGAAGATGAATAGACAAGGAATTTTGATTTGTTTTGTTTCGCAATTAATAAAATCAGAAACCGAGGAAATATTAGTTTATTTAATATTTTAATTAAAGAATAAGCGCTTACAAGCGCCGTCTTAGCTAGCTGGTAGAGCGCATGGCTTTTAACCATGTGGTCGTGGGTTCGATTCCCAAAGAGCGCATGGCTTTTTAACCATGTTGACTTTATTTTTTATGATTATCCGGTAGAGCATATAGCATTTAATCAATATTTTTAAAAGTTTTTTCATTTTTAATAATTTTGCTCTCTAATTGTTGACTTTATTTTTTATGCTTATCCTGTAGAGCACATGGCATTTAATCAATATTTTTAAAATCGGATAAGACAATGAATTGGTGAGTTGACTGACCATTGGTTTTATTGGTCGGGTCATTGACTTTATCTTTTATGCTTATCTGGTAGAGCTCATTAGGCCTGTCAATCGGGTCCTGTGAGCCGATCCTTAAATTGTTCAAACTCAAATACCATTGGGTTTCATGACCATATGCTCAAACTCATATAATATCGTGCCTCACATCTATAGGCTCAAACTCGGCTCATGTAACTTTTCGGGCTTCGGGTTTATATCGGGCTTGCTCGCTCAAGCAAATTTTACTTGGCAAATAAAAAATAATGCATTGTTAAAACATATATGAATAAATTAATCTTATTTAATGCACAAGATTATATAAATTTCATACTTGTAATCCATAATATAAAACATTAAATAAAGCTGGTAAAAGTCTCGAGGCTCTCGATCTATTTTACCATATATTTTAACTTTTCAGTTTATTCCCTTTTGTTATTTGTTTTTCCCTTGGCCCGCAAATACGTTAACTATAATTGAGATATATGTTATAAGTGATATATGTAGGAAACAAGTTCATTGTAAAAAAAAATGTTTCATAATAATTAGTATATTGGAGTATAATTTTAATATTAATAAGTAGTATTTAAAATAATAAGCTGCAATAAAGTGCAAAAGGGAAGATTCCAAAAGTATCAACTTCTCCAGTTTGATGTCAATATGGTAAATAATTGAAATCAACTCGATAATTTGTATTTGGAATAATTATATAGTCGAGCTTTATTCGGGTTGAGCCTTATTCGGCTCAAACTCGGCTCATAAATTGATCGAATTTAATATAATGGCTCAAACTCGGCCCGACTCACAATTATTCGGGTTCGGGTCAAATTTAGCTGGCTGAGCCATCGGGCTTCGGGTAGGCCCTACACAATTGTCAGTCCTAGAGCTCATGGCATTTAACCAATATTTTTAAAATTGGATACAATGATTGGTGAGATGGCCACTGATTTTATTGGTCGGGTCACTGATCGGACCGATATGACATCATTATTATGTAATATTAAAATATATATTATTTACAAACAAATTAAACAATATCATTGAAATACCAACAAAAACTTAGTTTATAGATTTCAAGTTATCATATAATATTATTAACTTATGTTATCATACTAATAATTTAAATACAAAATTAATTAATAAAACAATATAAATAAAATCATTTAATTCCTTTAAGAAGATATAAATATAAAATAAAATTATTCAATTATAAAATATTTAAAATAAAGAAAAGAAAAAAAGAATATATTTTGCGATATACAAATTCAAAATTTTGCTCCATTTATCCTAAATATTATAGTTTGAAATGAAAAAACAAAAAAAAAAAAGACAAACATATATTAAAAATAAAAAATCGTAGTGGTCAATTGTAGATTGTGATTGGTGTTATTTGAAATTATAATTAAGAGATGTTTTGGGTCATAACGGAGTATCATATTTAATTAAAGTAACTTGTGGGATTTTTCTATCAAATTTCACCTCTTCGTTTTTGTATGTCCTCATGAATGAAATATAATTTTTAAGTCTCACTGTTTGATTGTGATTTTTTTTTTTTGACGTAGAATTTTAGTCCCTACTACACTAAATTCCTAGATATGTCCCTCATAAGCAGTGTAAAATATATTTTACTTTATGTCAAATCAAAATAAATTTTGTTTAGGTTTTTTTTCTAAATGAGATTATTTTTTAAAATTAAGTTAGAGTAACTTTAATTCTGGAAGGGAAAAAAAACATTTGTGTGACTTTCCAAAAAATACGTAAATAATATTATTTATCATAAAAATAATGAAGCAAAATGAGATTTGTAGATCATAATATTTGTCATGGAGAAATCATTTGAAAATCCCTAGAGTTTGCAAATAAATGATGAATTAATTGTTTGTTTCAAATGTGCAACATCAATTCTTAAGCTACAAATACATTTTTGTTTCAAACACAGTTACAAATAATAGCAACATTTAGAAAAATCATGCAAAATATATATCACGTCTGTGACGTGCATGCGATTGTTATAGATTTTTTAAAAGGTAGGCAAAATGGACGCCTTGAGAAATATCAGACGTCCAATATTTATTAATGCGAAGTTACCTAGATGCCCTTGATTATTTATTGTAACCCTAGGATTGCTTATAAATACAAAATGATGTTCACATATTATCGACATGGCTCATGCGCCGACAATCGAACATTCTTCCATTTTTTATACCATATCGTGAATTTCCTCAACTGCAGGTAATTGGTTATGAAAAAATTCGACACTACTAACTTTTCTCGTCTCCGAACATGGATACTACAAGTTCGTTACCCTCTCCACTCATGGTGTGAAATCATTTCTCAAATGGTAAGATTTAATATAAAATACATGTCATACATTTGTCTAATTATTTGTATTAATCACGTTTATTTCTAATATTTATTACATTTTTTTCCTTCTTGGATGTGTTTTTTTTACACATATTTATATTATTAGAAGAAATGATTAACATAGGTGAGGACTACTGTATTTTCTATTGATATTTGTAGATTGAATTTCATTGCCAACTTCCGGAACAACGTTGTAGGATGTAGTATATTCATGGATTAATATTTTGTTTACAATGTATGTTACGATTAATTAAGTATTAAAGAGTTTTCGAAAAAAATTCAATAACATGTTAGAAACATCGAGACTTTTTTGAACAAATTATTAAATTATGAAAAATACGAGATGCTTAAGGCAATCAACGAGCTTCCAAACTACGCCTTATTTTAATTTTTATTGATTAAAAAAATGAAATGTTCCGGTATTTCAACGAAATTGATATTTTTTTTTATCTATGATTCACGAGTATATTACATGAACTTATGACATAAACATTAATGACATGTTAATTAGTTTTAAGATGATATTTTAAAAAAAAAATTGAAAGATGGTATAGTTTTTTTTCCTGAATAATAAAAAAAAATATTTGTTTTAATTTTTAGAGAGAATCGAAATATAGTTTGTAAGCGAGACAAACCAACTTTAAGCTTTGGAACGATAATAACAATTCATAATTAACAATTCCTTTTCACTAAACATCAATTTTGTTGAAACATATAAGGGAAAACAATAATTCATTAGCATTTTGACCAATTGCATTCCAAAAAAAATTACAATCAAATTCATTCAACTATCCTTTAAAATACAATTTCCATAATATTTATCTTATAGTGTATATGAATTTCACTTATTCCGAATTTGTTTATGTTTTATTTAAAACATCTCAAAATAATGTATTTTCATAAACATAATTTGATTTCTTAAATTTATTGTAATTTAAAGTGATAATATGATACAATAAATCATTAGTTTTGAAGAGAAAATATAAAATATTAAAAGTTTTACTATTTCAGCAATACTTTGAAATAATGTGACAAATAATTATCGAACGGGCAAATAGTTTTTTTATTTGGCAAGTAAGTGTGCTACACCACACACAATATCCAAGAGATATAAACATTAGAAAAATAATAATTTCATATTTTATATACGCTGTTTTCGAGATTATGTTAATGGCCCATCAATTAATTAAGGAATCCAATTTTTAGAATTAGAATTTAATTGTCTTTTTTAGAAAGTAAATTAAAAATACCAAGACATGGATAACAAAAAATCCGAGGATTATTAATTTTATTTAAGCAATATTTGGGTAATTCCCTAAAAGAGATAAGCAAGAGGGAACGGTCAGAAAATGAAAATTCAAAAATTTTCCCAAAAAATTATACGGAAATTTAGGTCCGCGCCAAACACTCCCCAAAATCATGGCCCTATAAATATTGAACTAAAGCACACTGCATTCCTCCACACAGAGACCCACTCATATTTACTTTATTAATATATTTATTTGTCTTTCATTCATCACAGCAACAACCACCCAATGGCGAACGTCAGCGACCTCCCCTGCGACGGTGACGGTGTATGCATGGTCTGCAAGCAGAAGGCGGCCGATGGTGAAACCCTGACCTGCAAGACTTGCGTTACCCCCTGGCACGCCATCTGCCTCACCACCCCCCTCCAAACCCTAGCCGATGCCGCTCAGTGGGAATGTCCCGACTGCTCAAATACCTCCGCCGTCGTCAAACCGGCAGCAGGATGCGGTGGTGGGGGTCTGGTGGAGAAGATCCGCGCAATCGAATGTGATGAGTCGATGACGGACAAGGAGAAGGCCAAGCGGCGACAGGAACTTTTGAGCGGAGGAGTCACCGAAGCCCATGAAGAAGACAAGGAGAAAACGAAGAAGAATAATGGAGGCGTTTTGGATATTCTAGGGGACAAGTTCAACTGCTCCATTTGCATGAACCTGCTCGACCGGCCTGTCTCTGTAAGGATTTCGGAATACTCCCTCTCTCTCTGTTTCTGTATGTTTGTGTTTATTTTTGCTTGCATCTGAAAAATAATGAATCAGTAGTCAAGACGATGCCGTTTTATTTGATATTGAATGCTTTATTTCTGTAGTTGTTTGAAATTAATTCTGTAGATTCTATTGACTGTGTATAAATCAACTCTGCTTGCAAATCAGTATATTTTTGCCTAATATGTAAGCATTGTTTTTTATGTACTATTTTGGTTTTTCTTTTAGTTCATGACTTTCTGTTGATGATCGAAAAAATGTTGGGAGTAGTGGAGTTCTGTTCAGTAAAGATACTGGATAATTCTTGTTTAACTAAATCAATTTACCCCAAATTTAAACATTATTTTGAAAATTTATAGTACCATACTCCCATTCATGTTTACAACCAATTGAAATTAAGACCATTAATGACTTTTTCATTTT